CTCGAGTCAGAGATCTCAAACGGCTTCAAGAAAGACAGGAAGTTCAACTAAGCAGAGCGCTGGACGAAAGTTTGAATAGTTACCTAAATCTTTCATCCAACAGTTCAGAGGTATGAAGAGCAGCTTTTAACAATCTGTGAAGCAAACATTTATTTTAGTAGTCACAGAGATCTTGCAGTCCTTGGTTAATGCCCTCGCGTAGACAGTCCTACAATTTTCACTAAGAACCTTCATCTACATCAGGATATTAAACCCGAAGATGAAATGTCCCTTTTGGGGAAGCTCTCTACAAAATGATCAAGGTTAGATAAAGATACCTTGTCAGAAAAGAAAAAACAAAACAAAACAAAAAAAAAAAACCGTAAATTGCACCGGGCCAATTTATCCAAGGGGAAGGCAATTCTGTTAATTATTCAAATCTCCAATTCATTTTTTCTCTCTGGACTCTACGAATTTTGCATGATGAGATACTCATTCCAGAGAAAAATTGTTTGCACAATTTGCATTTTGGTTCAAAGTAATTTCGTGCGATTGGTTCGGTGTTGCTAATTTATACAAGTAAGAATAGAAGACAAAAACATTACCATCGTCAAACAAGTTTGCAGCTCTTCGGACGAAGAACTTGGGTTAAAGTACATTTAAATTTTTCCCAACTGAACATTCAATCAGTGTAAAACGGGAAAGATTTCCACACAGCACCGTACTTGCCTTCAGGACTACGGCTTTAGTTTAGAACTGAGTATGGGGTTATAAGAAAATCTTTCCCGGTTTTGATTTCGTCCATCTCTAAAGACTCGAGTGCTATAAGAAAACAGACCGTTTGGAGCTGGCATCGTGTTTATTTTTACAGAATACCCTGCGATACAAGATATAAATGCATGTAAGAAATAAGGTACGTAAACAAGGAGATAAAAAACCGAAGTTGACAAGGATCTCTCGGGTCCAAGACTTTTGCATAGCTTAAAAAACCATTAGCATCCGACCAGTTCCTAGCTTTCACGCCTAAATAACTTATACAGAAAACATAAAATTGTGTAATTGCTTCGTTGAAAATAGGTTATGTAAAGTAACAAATACTTCAACCTTGCGATGACTTTTGAGTGGAAACCTTTATCTTCATTTACCTTCAAGATTCCTGTTGGCAGGATTTACAGTAGGATTTACTTCAACCCCGCATTTACCACGCGGTTAACATCTTCATTTCTCTCCTCCCCTTTGCTGACGAGTGATTCAAATCTTCTCTCATCGAACTCTTCTGCTTCAACGTGGGTTTTGTTCAGAAGCATTTCAATGAGAGCTACACGAAATTCTCTTAACCTGACTGTGTAGTCGAACCGATTAAGTAAAGAGTTGACCAGAGTTAAAAACATTGCTGAGGTAAAAACGACATAATGCGCATTTGTCGAGACTCCTGCATTGAAAATTCTAAAAGTAAGAAAAGGCAAATAACAGAAAATTACTATTAAAACAACAATCCTTGTTACTTTAAGGGTTCTTTTCACCTTTAAAAGATTTTGCCTGGCTTTCAGTGAAACTGATGGTCTGCAATCTGTCTCTCATGTCGACGAGTCTCGCGGCACACTATTACATTGCAGAAAATGATGGAAACCAGAAATGTAACCACTACTGCATTGTTGACAGCGATGAAAATTTTTCGGTCGATTATCACAAGAATCTGTAATACAGCACTGACAATGGACAGGTTGCTATGAGTATCACTATGTTGATGACTGAAAAAGTGAAAGAAAGGGTGGAAAAACGATTCGACGTCAGAAGAAACAACGGATAATCTGAAGGATTGATATTCTGAAAATTTTTATTGAGTTTCATCTTCTTCCCGGCTTCTCATCAAATCTCCAATTTGTCTTCCTCTCGTTGTTACATGAGGCAAGAAATGTTTTGATCTGTCTACTGTATGGGTTTGTTGCTGTACTTGCCTTATCTCATGTGACTTTTCAAGTGGGTAACTAAGGCATCAGTATTTGTTGTGGGTTATCCTTTTATGTTTTTGATTTCCTTTGAGCGATTTTCTCTTCATCTTAATTCGTTCAACACAATGTAACAAAAGGTGCAGTAGATATTCCTCACGGAAGTACAACTGTAATTATGGTCTGTATAAAGCGGTAACCCTGTATTTAGCAGTGGGTTGAGATAGTCCCCGTAATCACTGTGATTTGTACCTTCACCAAGCAGTTGTCTCTTTTAAGCGGTCGTGGTAACCTTTACTAAGCCTCAACGACCTGCTTCTCTTGTCCTCTACCAGTGATGAACGGTTACTTTAAGGGGAACCACTGAGACAAAACTAGAATAGTATTCGAAGTAAAATCTAAGACAAGATTTCCGTATCACCCCATACTTCTTTATGCATACAATTGTTGGGTATAAGAAAACAGAAGCAAAACAACAGATTACCTTTGGGACTTCGGCTTTGTTTTTGATTGGTATGGGGTTATACGGAAATCTTTCCAAATTTAATTCTTGTTTCTCTTCCGAAATCAATGTTAGTAGCATATCACCGCGAAAACAGCGGTACGTTACTGAACGGGGCTAAGCGCGAAAAACGAGTAAACAGGCATACTACTGCTATATGTACATCGATAAATAATGCGAAGTAGCAACAAGGCGGCAATAAAGTGGAAACAAAGGTATAAGCGTCCGCTAATTACGGAGTGAAAAGACATTAACAATGAACTCTATACGCAAAGAATCCAACACGAAAAATGTCGCTCTTAGAACGTCACTTGTTAACTGGCTTTTGTGAAAGAAAAATCCTGATTTCCGATGGATCCTGAAAGGAAGCAGTGCACAATTGGAAAAGAAAAAACATGAAGTTGCTGAAGAAAGAAGAAATGCAAATAACCTGACACACGATGTATTGTTTTTACGTGACCGTTCCGGCAGTAGGAATACGAAGATTTGTATGTGCGAGACGGTTGATTCGGAAAACCAGTAATGTATCTGAGATTTAAACGGAAAAAAGCAGTTTACCTTGTGTAATGGCGTATTCCTTGGTTTTCGACTGGTTTTTGCGTCGACACTAATAATGAACAAGAGAGGTCATGGCAACACTGTGTTCAGCTGCCGCCTCCCGGTGTTTCGGATGGAGGAGGTAGCCGTACTCAGGCCAGTGAAACTAAGCTCATCTGATAGCTCTGGAAGGGGACACTTAGATTCAAAGCAAAGGAACTGAAAAGAAATACGGCAAGGAATCGACCGCAAACTGAACGAAAGCGGAAATAAAGAGACTTACCACTGAGATGGAGTTATTCATTTTTTACCATTCTGGGAAATCAGTAGGACAAAATTGATCAGTTCTTGTTCGCTGGTAATTTTTTGAATATTAGCTTTTACTTTAGGGTAATAATTCTATGTTTCTTTCTTCCTCTAAGGTCTTAGCCATTACGCCACTGAAAGCGTTCAAACCTTACAAATAGATGATCTCCATGCGATTAACAGCAAAACAATTCAGGTGTCAGACGTAAGAATTTTATAGGAAAATTAATTACCTGACTCGTGAATTCCGCGTTAAATTGCACTTGAAAACCGATATCGCACGAATCGCTTCACGATTCGTGCGATATCGGTTTTCAAGTGCAATTTAACGCGGAATTCACGAGTCAGGTAATCAAATTTCCTTGAATCGCGTCATTGAATAAAAATAGGAAAACAAAAAAACAGCAATAAAATTGTTTGTTTTCATCCTGAGCGGGCGCCCCAGAAAGCCATTTTGAAGTCAACTTGTCAGAACTGTCATTGCGTTAGCGAATAGGAAGCAAGGTCAGTCGTGCACGTTAGAACCTTCTACATCTTTTATTTAACAAATAGAGAAGCCTTGACTGTGCTCTGTTCTGTAGTAAAGCACGCAGGAAGCGGCTAGAGCACGAAAGAAGTGTAGGGAGAAACAAGAGACGTAGTCGAGTGTTTCTCCCCACTTCTTGAGTTTTCACTTCATTGGTTTTCTCTTTTTTTTTTCACTTCACTGGTTTTCTCTTTTTCACTTCACTGGTCTTCTCTTTAAGAAGAGAAAGCCAGGATTAAAAAAGAAACGCTTAAATCAAGTTAAATCGATAAAATAACGACATCAGAAGCAAACAACACACGTATGGAATAAGGTAAGCCATTTTTATTTAATATTTTCACTTTTCACTATCTCCATGGATATCTTGTAGAAAATCCCATACAAATCCTTATAAATCGATATGCAAATTGTGTTCCTTGTGTGGTTCTAAAAGAGAGCTTGGGCCGCCTGTGAGTTTATGAGTAGATTTTACCACATATTTCGTGGTATTCGAACAAAAATGTACGCTTCCTTCATATCAGCTTTAGGAAATCCATTTCTGATATAACAGCGACGTGAAAGCGATGATCTATTTCCAAAATCGTTTACTCTGAACGTCGAAACAACCTTTCGTCATTTATTTGCTTCTAGCAAGTTGCAATGTTTTGCCTCGTGGCGATTCCACAGGTGGCCCAAGCGTACTGTGTGACTTTGGGGTGTAAAGTACAGTGACGGTAATAACTAACATATTAAGATCGAATTTCAAGCGTACGTGTGAGCCATTGAAAGAGGACAAATTTAAAAAAAAATAATAATAAAAAGTTTAGAAGGATACTAAAAGCGAGGAATAAAACATGCGAAGTCTCCTTACCTTTTTTCCGTAGTCGCTTTGTCGCCAAAGGTCGTTTGAACGCTGTTTTGGCGGCTTGCTTTGTAACGCGTGCAGTGTCAACAGTCAAATGTAAAAATAGGAAAAATTATAAAAAAAATCAGGAAAAAATTAAAAAGGAAAATAAAAGCGAGGAATATATCGTATGAAGTCTCCTTTCCTTTTTTCCGTAGCTTCTTTGACGTTTTCGGTCCATTTAACGCTGTTTTGGCGACCTTCTTTGCAACGCGTGCGGTGCTACCGGTCAACTGTGTATAAAAAAAAACCTAATTTTTTTTATAATTTTTCCTATTTTACATTTGGCTGATCAAATAGAAAATAAGTTGGAAGTGGTACCATTGAATTTTTATGCACTTTTCGATCCAAGAAAACAATGATTACATCTGCTCTTGCAAAGATTAGTGATATTTTTATTTCTACAGGTTAAATAAAACTTGAACGAATGTAAAAAGGATTCTGACGAGACCACGCCACCTAAACAGTTATATTTACTTTTACCTGATAGAAGAATTAATGTGTTTCTATTCTAGACTTAAAGATCGCACATCTTTTGAGGAAACAAAAGGAGAATTCTTTAATGCCTTGAGTTTGGACAAAAAGTTTGAAGTTCTAATAGGGCTCACTTATGACTGCGTCATCATTACTGCCTAACTTGTTTTTATCATTTTTTTTTAATAATCTAACGCAAGCTATGACGATATATCACTGATGATATCATGTAAATGACGGCTAATACTAGAAAATGGAGTTCAAATGTTCCAGCCGAAAGGCTAGTCTTTTGCTTTTTAGATTGGCTTTGGAAGAAGCAGCAGACTTAGAGATTGTTTATGATCCCTTGTGTGCATTCCCCTTCGGGTCTATGCAGGACTTCTTGCCTCCAGCCTTTGGAAAATTTTTGCATCTCATTTTCTTGGGCCAACGAACGCGATACAAGCGCATAAAAGGAGCACAGCCTCTCCTCGCTTGTTTGCAAGTTGAACGACATGGAGGAAGTGGGTCTGTGACTTTCGGTGGACATTCAGGAGCATACATGGAGCAAAGAAAGCGCTTCAGATCTGGCGAACACTTAGACCCAAATAGCGGCCTGAACTGTTGCAAATCAACGGCATCTTCTTCTTTGATGTTTGGCAGTGAGGTATAGTTGTAGCCAATACCTTGGCAGAAAGGTATTTTGATCTTTTCACATTTCTTTGTTGCGGTCAAAGTTTTCGTTGGAAGAAGAGCGACCGGAGGAAGAGGTGATGCTGTAGTTGAAAGTGCCATGCGTCCTATGCACGCCTTGTTGCCAAATTTCGGAAACGTTTCGCATTTCATTCTCTTTGGCCACGTAAACCCGTACCGACGCATGAGAGGCTCACAGCCTTCTTTTGCCCGTATACACAGCGAACGACATGGAGGAATTTCTTTGTTAAAATTCGGCTGACATATAGGAGCATACAAGGAGCACAGAAAGACCCTTAAATCTGGTGAACACTTGACTTTAACCAGCGGCCAGAATTGACGAACTTCATCTGCCGCTTCTTTCTGTGTTCTGTGGTTAAACATGTTTGGCATATAAGTGAAGTTGTAACCGATGCTTTGACACATAGGTATCTTTATCCTCTCACATTTTCTAACAGGGGATGTTTTCGTGGGAAGAACATGCACCGGATGAGTTCCATTCGCTACAATTCTGTTTCCTGCAATGCATGGCTTTTTTCCATCAAGTTGAGGAAACTTTTTGCATTTCATACGTTTAGGCCACGAATAGCCGTACTGACGCAGAAAACGTGCACAACCTTTTCTCACCCGTTCACAAAGCGACCGACATGGTGGAACTTCTGTTTTGACATTTGGCTGGCAGGCAGGAGCATACATAGCACAGAGGAAGACTTTCAGATCTGTGGAACATTTTATCTCAACCAGCGGCCAGAATTGATGAACTTCAAGCGCTGCCTCTTCCTGTGTGAGGTTGAATATGTTTGGCACGTAAGTGAAGTTGTAGCCAAGGCCTTGGCACATAGGTATTTTGAGCTTTTCACATTTTCCTATGTTGCCAGAAACGCTGGAGAACGCACACAAAACCAGCAAGACTATGAGAACGAAGCAATGAATGTCAGCCATCGCAATGTAAAAGCGTTGCCGATGTCTGACCCAATTCATTTATGTACGTAATTCTTGTGAAAATCGTGATAAAATGTTTATCGTAGCTTAAGCTTTCATTTATGACGTCGTCTGGACTGTTCAACTCTTGCGATTAGCTAAACGAGATTTACTGTAAATAGTGGATTTAATTACTAAGCTTTGTGGTTTTGCGCAAGACTTTATTGGCTACATTTTGTTTCAATTAATTTTGCCTTACAGCGAGATAGAACCTCACTAAACGTCTTTTAAAATACTTTTCGCCGAGAAAAATCCAATTCAAGTTTAATCCATCATTAGGTGAGCGCTTGTTGCCTTATGAACAACTAGCCACAGTCGCCAATTCAAAGTTTTATAGATTAACCTTTTTCATGTCAACGTCGGTGTTAGAATACGTGCTCCAATAGCACGACCAATGTAACCGCACGCTTACCACAATGTTTATCGCAGTTAATCGTTGCTTATTTACGCATTTGTAGAAAACCGCTTTAGGAAATGCCACAAAATTGTACAGGTGATGCTATGCCAAGTATGTTATCTTAAATCAGAGCCGCTTATGGATGATTGTATAGAACCCAGTGCCTGTGCAATAAAAATCAGTTGTTACTCCTACTTGTGTGATGCGTATGTTCTATCTGTAACATGGCGACATCAGTAAACCTGACAGGTTATGGACCCAGGAGAACGCTCATATTTGACGGGAACGAAAGCAAGTACGAGCTATGAGAGGTGAAGTTCTTAGGATACATGCGCCTTCAGAAGCTTTACGATGTAGGATGTAGTTATACCAAAAGAAGATGAAAAAGAAGAACTCAGCGAGGAAAAGAAAACTAGTGTGTTTGCAGAACTGGTCCAGTATTTGGACGATAGAAATTTGTCCTTGGTTATCAGGGAGGCTAACGATGATGGGGGAAAGCGCTCAGAGTCTAAGGGAGCACTACCAAGGCAAAGGAAAACCCCGCATCGTTGCCCTCTTAGGTTTTTTAGGTTATTTTTAGATAATCTAAAAATTTTCGTCGATTATCTTATCAATATCCACCCCACCATCAAATTCGCCAGCTCACACTCTTCCACTAATGTGGCTTTCCTTGACGTAAGTGTCTCTTTAACCACCGACGGTAATATCTCCACTGACCTCTACACCAAACCCACAGACAAACATATGTATCTATTGTGCTCCTCTTGCCATCCATTATATACGAAAAAAGCCATTCCGTTCAGTCTAGCACTCCGCCTACGACGTATCTATTCTACAGATAAAGCTTTTGAGACTCGCGCCGCTCAACTTACCTCATACCTTCTCAAACGGGGTTACAGCCATAAATACGTCACCAAACAAATACACCGCGCTGCTGACATCTCCCGCACACTCACCTTACAAACTAAAGACGTAAAAAAACCTAACCGTATTCCATTTATAACTACTTTTAATCCGTCGCTTCCTCACATCTCTTACATCATCAAAAAACACTGGCATCTACTACAGTCGTCTAACCGCTGCAAAAAAGCTTTTCCTCAGCTGCCAGTTGTCGCCCGTCAGACGCTCCCCCAACCTTCGCGACACATTAGTAACAGCCAAACTCCCCTCTAATTCTACCACTTCCCATACTCAACTCCCCCCCGGCTCTTTCCGTTGTGGAAGAAACTGCGTTACTTGCCCCTACATCTCTGACGGTCTTACTAACTATACCTTTTTTTCTACCGGCGAAACACGTCCCATTAAACCTCACTTGACCTATGACACTAAAAACCTTATCTACTTAATTCAGTGTAACCGCTGTAACTTACAATACATAGGAGAAAATAAACGACGTTTAAAAGACCGTTTTAATGAACACCGCCGTACCATTGATAAACCCAACTCTAAATCCAAACCTACTACAGCGGCAAAACACTTCATTTCCTCTCCTAACCACTCTGCTCACGACATGGAGCTAATCGCCATCGAAAAAGTGTTTTCCAGGAGAGACTCGATACGCAAGGCCAGGGAAGCTTTTTTAATTTCAAGAGGCAACACTATTTATCCAGATGGCCTTAACGCTCGCGAAGAAATGTATTAG